CTCTCTCTCCTCTATGTGTGTGTGTGTGTATGTATGTGTGCCCCTCCCCCCTCTCTCTCTCCCTCTCCCTCGCTCTCTCTCCCTCCCCCCTCTCTCTCCCCCCTCTCTCTCATCACCACTCACCTTGTTGCCAGGCGACAAAGGCTTCCACATATGTCCTCCCTTTATCAAGTTGACGGTATTCAGAGGTAACAGAACCTTCCCGATGAGCTGATGACGAGAGAACTTGTCGAAATCCTTGATCAGAATCTCCAAAGTCCTCTCCTGTGCCTCCGTGTAATCGATATCAAAACTAAAGTACTCGTTCCACGTGGGTTCTTGAGTTTTCCTTTGTACAGTTGTCTGTTGAGAGGCTTTCTGGTCGGGCAGTAGCGATATCTTGCAGTACGGATTCGAATGCGCCATATCTTGTTTGGAATCGTCCATGCAGTAAGGGGGAGGGAGATCTTTGGCTTCGATAATTTTGACAACGAATAACTGGAAAGGTATGATAAAAGTACCGAGATTAGAAAAATGTTCGCTGCTAGTACCAAAAAGCGTCAGTAAAAATCGTCTCTGTTCCTATCATTTCAAATGTAGTGGTGTGGTGAGTGTGAAAAGAAAAGATAAAAAGTGTTATGTTCAATAAAGTCTGTCACTGGTTGTAAAAAATGTGAAAGTCTAATTCATTCTTTGACATCATATTCTAACATACTGTTGGTGTGAATGTGGTCGTGTAGGAAAACAGAAGGTGGGGCTAAGAAATGTATTTGAAAATGGTAAAAGAACGCCTCCATCCATCCATCCATCCATCCATCCATCCATCCATCCATCCATCCATCCATTCATCCATCCATCCATCCATCCATCCATTCATCCATCTACCCATCCATCCATCCGTCCATCCATCCATCTTTCCATTCAACCATCTATTTATCTACAGATAATGTTTCTCTTCGTCCTCATCTATCTTCTGTCCATCCGTCTCTCTCTCTCTCTCTCTCTCTCTCTCTCTCTCTCTCTCTCTCTCTCTCTCGACCCCAGACATTTCATGATTAGATTTTTTTCTTTGTTGTTGCTGTTTACTTCCCTTTAACTACACTCATTTACATCTCGTTGGGAAGTAACTAGTCAATTCTATTATTCTAGCAGCAACGATGGCGGTCACAGGTCTTGCTTTTTTTTTCTTCTAACCGTGGATGATAGCTGGATCTTCTAGTGCGATCGTCTCCATCTGCCTTGTGAAATGTCCTTCACACCTGGATCCGACCGAAGAGTTAAATGAAACATGAAGGGACATTTATGCCCAATCGATTCAATTTAGATCAATTTTTAGAAAGCAGATGCAGGTGGTTGGTGGGTGCTCTGGTGCATTTTGTTCCTTCTTTCTACCAATCATTTATCGCCCTTGCCTTATATATCTCCTCCTTCTTTTCTATGTATGACTTTCTAATAACACCTGACCTAATCTTTGGTACTTATAATAATATGATCATCTGTGTTGAAACTGTCGGTTTGCTAAAACTACCAATAAATCACTGTTTCTCTCCCAAATAATTTCTGTCAAAGTGTAAAAAAGATTGTGTTTTTACGCCCTAGTCCGGACAATTAAGACTATTTAGGTGGCGGGCGTCGACGTTGCCTCTCAGACCAAATCAGGGCTGGGAGGATACAGGTCCTATCCTAGCAGAAAGACCAAGATACTATATATATCTAAGAATATATATCTAAGAAGCCTTTGTGCTGTTGAAGCTAGAGAGGTGAGCGGGGTAAGTCTGATTCCCTGTTCCTATGCATAGTAGAATTGTAAATGGGCTGATTCATAACTCTGCCTGAACTGCAACAGGGACCTGCTGCTTTTTCTAATCCTTACTATCATCATTTTCCTCTACTTCTTTTGTATGTTTGTCACACTCTTGTGACCCGCTATTACTGGGTTTCCTTGATAGTCGAAGCAGACTTTGTGCTGTTGAAGCTAGAGAGGTGAGCGGGGTAAGTCTGATTCCCTGTAAGGACTTCTCTGTTGACATCCTCCCCTTGGCGCTCATATGACCTTATGAGGTTGAGAGCACCATAAAACATCTACTAAAACAAGCAAACAGTAATCGTCCCTTTCTCTCCTCCTTCTTCTCTTTGTATGCTATGCTCCAGTACCACCTGTAATCTCTGACACTTTTTTGACATCATTCAAAATTCGTACCAAGGCTGAACTAAAAACTCGCTCACCAGTTTCTGTTGCACGTTTGATGCCAAATCTTATGTGGAAGATAAGGTTCGATATTGAAGAGATGATATAACCTAAAGGGGGTGG